CACACACACTTGCATGCCTTGACAGAAGTGCCCCATTTATGCCTCCTTTCCATAGTATATACACTACTCGAAGGTCTGTCTAAAAAAGTTTTGCTATTTTGAAGGACTCGACTATTTGTAGAAAAAATATTTTTATTATTATTTTACTTAATGTCTGTTCTCTTCCAACTTATTATAACATGTGATAAGACTTTCAAATGTAAAGACAGTGAGAGAAGAGAAAGAAATCTTTTATTAATAAGTATTTTAAGAAAGTTTTTATTCTTTGCATTCATTTTAGATTTTTGTTTTGTTTTATTCACTTTTCCGTATGATTTGTGCGCATAATTATTATTACAGTTAGTTTAATATTTTAATTTATTTCATATTATATATATTCGTGTTTTAATTATTTTATTGTAATATTTAACTCTTACTAATATTTCAATGTGGTGTAAAGCAAAAAGTGTATTAAAACTTTTCTTCAACCAAATTGATTTAATAGTAATATCACAACAGTATATTTAATAACAACTAATATCCAACACATAAATTGGTTATTTGTCTATTATTAATATACAGTAGTTTAAATTGTTATAAAAATTAATATTTAATAATAAAATGAATTTAATATAAATTTTGCAAGGAATATATTGAATAATAATTATATAGTTTAAATTACTTTTATTTTGCTTGTTGTGAACAACATTTGGGAGAAGTTTCAAATACTTTATTTGTTAACAAACAAGTGTTTCAAAACTTATTTATTTATTCAAACCATTATTTAGTTCAATGTTAAGCAATGCCTCAAAGCAAACGACTCAACTATTATGGATTCTTCGGATTGTCTGTTGCCGTAAGCATTATATCTAATTATATTTACATTCATTATTATTTATTAATCCATATTTATAAATTAAACTTTTATTTTTGTAAAATCATCTAGCTCATAAGTATTTAGATATTCTTATTTATTTAAAAGAATAGGCATGTACAGTAATATGTGATAAACACTGGAATAAATGTATTAATGTTTGTAATTTATTTTATTTGATGTTATTAAATTATTTAAATAATTTAGATGCAAGATTTTATTTGTTAATTTAGAGATATTAACTGATCATGGTTAATAAGAACTTCTTTATAATAAACAATGCATTTAAAGAATTAGTAGTCATATAAAGTTTAGTTATGTATTGTAATAATTGTGTCCCTCATTACAGTGCCATCACTTATATAACAATTAAATATTATTATTCGTCTGTCTCTTCACAATTATTACTGTAATTATTATTTTAAACATGTAAAAGATTCACATTATTTACAAATACAATACAACTTTTATTTTACATTCAAGATCAGCACATGTTATTTTGTTAACTAAAATTTAAAGTATTTTTAAAATGCATTTGTCATTGTATTATATTTATTAAATAGTTAAAAATTATTCTCTAATATTGTGAATAAAATCATTGTTTCTGTTTATTGAGTAAAATATTGTAAAATCCGATAACAATTTGGATATTTCTTATTGAACTTGATTTTAAAAAACAATTAAAAATAATTACAAACAAAAATACAATAATACAGAAAACTAGTTATAAATCTCATTTAATAATTAACGTTAAATAGCAATTTTCAATGCAATTATGCATAGAGTGTTACAATAAATCACTTATAAACTAAATTATAACTTAATTTTATATTTTTATTAATTTTATTATTAAAAATGTTTTTTATGTGACATATTTCTACCCTAATGAATGTCATTTACAGCTGATATCCATCGCTTCGTATTTTGTATTATTGACGAGGAGTTGTGTTGAGCAGGACTTCAGTCAATTGGAGTACATTGAGATCTGCGGGACAATTGTGGGCACAATTGTGTGTATCGTTAGCTTTTTCAATGTCGCAGAGAAGCTGTATAATCGTAAATGCATTTTCTATTTGGTATGTATTCATGTATTCAACTGCTAATTATTCCTCACATGAATGTTCATTCATTTGCAAATTGAATTAAATGTTTGTTTTGTTATTTCAATGAAAAAATATACTAAAACTTTCCACAAAAGATATAAATCATTTCCTTTTATATTTTATTGTTATACACAACGGATATTTCAATACAAATAATAAAATATTATATATATATTAGTTATGATTATTCGCAGAGCCCTTCCCTTCCCGTCTATAATGAATGAATGATTTTTGATTTTTCTATAAAATATTAACTTTATTTTATTAAAGGCTTTGTTATAACTTAATACTCGTTTAGTAGTAGTTATTATATTTATTAAATTGTTAGTTAAGATTAGCGTTTACTTTATTGATAGTAATTATTATTTTTAATATAATAAAAGCGATTAGTTTATTGTTGATTATCTATGCCTTATAAACCCTATTAGATATCCGTTATAAGTTATAGCATATAAAACCGTTAATTGACATACAAAACACTTTCTAAAATCAAAGTTTATATAGATTTTGAAATGGTGTTTTTATTGGAAAATAAATAAAACTATTGTTTTCATTGAAAGAACAAAACAAACAAAATGCTAATTTCCTAAAACCATTATTCAATTAATTTCAAACCAATCCAAACATTAAATTTCTTTACTTTCTAAATATAAATCATATCTACAATACTATATTTTGCAAATTTAAAAAACTTTGTTTACAATAAAGCACTTAACAATATTTAATGAAATTGTAGAGTAATAACGATATTTAAAAATTTGTAGATTGTATTATCGTTTGTAATACTGGGATGTGTTATGCATTTCGGGGCATTCAAGTCAATACTGAAGAGCTGTACGATTAAAATGTATTACGAGAGGAATTTCGAGATCTTGAAGAATAGCACACGATTTGCATTCGACGAAACACAAGTCGACAATTGGTTTCAACGCAAATA